CTTTGAAGTCAGAGGCAGGAAAGGAACAATTGGTTAGTGCTGGATAGATTGACAGTCACCACAGCAGAGCAAGGTCCCTCCCAGCCACACCTATTAGGTGTTGTAAAAACTCCAACAAGAACATTGTGCATTGCTATATACAGCCATGTACTCTGACCCATTTAATTCTTAATTAAAATCTCTTAAACACATTTTACTCTTCAAAGTTTCCTGTTTTATAAAGCTCCCAAGATTAAACAGAAGTTGGTTTGCTTAACTGTACTGGCTAGTTCTGTATTTGATCCAGAAACTCATATGCAAAGATTCTTGTCAGCTGTCCTCAAACCTCTAGAGATCTCCTGTCTGTAGCCCTCCTATGGTCCAGCTGAGTTAAATAGAGGACAGGGAAGTGCATCAGCACATGAACAGTAACAGTTGTACAAGCAGGATAGATTCCAGTTTTCCAGCATGGGAAAACACTGTACCATTGTGGCAGTGCCGGAGAGTCTCATATACCATTAACCCCTGAGCTGTGAATTTTGTGGGCAAGTCAGAGATGAAGTCATTCTTGCAATCTCTCCAGATGAAAGTGTGATACTTTCTTTTTCTCAATCTTTCACTTACTCTCTTCCTTCGATTCCAGTTTTCCAGCATGGGAAAACACTATACCATTGTGGCAGCGCTGGAGAGTCTCATATACCATTGACCCCTGAGCTGTGGATTTTGTGGGCAAGTCAGAGATGAATTCATTCTTGCAATCTCTCCAGATGAAAGAGTGATACTCTCTTTTTCTCAATCTTTCTCTTACTCTCTTCCTACATATATTGATTCTTGAAACTCTCCCCTGCCCCCAAGTATCTGCTACATCACTACTGGGGGAAAATCCACAAGTATTTTCCTCTCTCTGAGAGATAAAGAAAAGATGGAAACAGGGTCCCATGGAATGCTGTTACCTTCCCACCGAAGTAGTCCCTATTTATCTACTTGCATTTGCATGCTTTCAAACTGCTAGGTTGGCGGGAGCTGGGACAAGCGACGGGAGCTCACTCCGCTGCATGGATTCGATCTTATGACTGCTTGGTCTTCTGACCCTGCAGCACAGGCTTCTGCGGTTTAGCCTGCAGAGCCACCACGTCCCTCTCTTCCTTCATACTGTACAGTATATTGATTCTCAAAACTCTCCCCCACCCCCAAGTATCTGCTACATCAGTACTGAGGGAAAATCCTCTCTCTGTGAGATAAAGAAAAGATGGAAACAGGGTCTCATTATCCATCTCCACATGGCAAAGCAGTTGTGGGATCCAAAGCAGTCGGATTCTTCAGATGTTGTGGGTGAAGCCAGTTGTCCCATCTGTAGCAAGAAGGGGTAGCTATGTGGCTGTTTCACTTTGCTCCGTGTTTTGACCTTTGCTTTTCTTGATGAATGTAGCTGCCATTTATATGTCTACAAAGAAATCCTTTTAGCTCTCCAAGCATTTCCTTTGGTACAGACTAAACTCTAATCTCCAGGAGGAGCTATTTTATTAACAGTTAGTAAAATCGTGACACAATTCTGCACAAAAAATACCACTCAGGGAAAGATATTAAATTAGTGAGGATGGTATAAACATGGGAACTAATACTTTAATTTTGTGTTATTTTTTAAAAAGGAGATTTACAGCTGTCTCCTGTGTAGGGTTACAAGTGTGTACGCCCATTGATTTTAATGTGCCTCAGCAGGCATATCTAAATAGGCATGAGAGAGGGCTCCATATCAACTTTTGAACTTTGGTTTGCTTTCCTAAACTTAAAAAAACAATGAAACACTTTACTAGCTGTCTCAAACATGTTGTACTGTGCTTTTATTTTAAGAAAAAGAAGCCAAGATCATGATAGATCTTGTATAAAAAATTATTTCACACATGTGTTTCCATTTGCACATTGTGCCTTAGAAGTCAGTAGCTGGCATAACAGGACGGTTGGAATGCCAAGGAGCCTTATCAGTTTACAGAGCAACACATGTGCAGCTATGCTTATTTGCTGGATGGGAGACTTCCCCTCAGGGGAGTGCTTCTGTTTTGAAGATGCTGCACATCTTCTGAGCACTCCAGTAGAAATGTGTCTTTGGCTGGATGGGATAGAAGAGGCTTCCCTCAGGGAAATGCTTCTGTTTCAAGAACACAAGAATGCTGCGTATTCCCGGCACTCAAACAGCAACAGATTTTTGCTGGGGGTTTGGAAAAATGCATTCTGCTTCTCACGAGAACTTGAACCATTGTAACAGAGAACGTTCTGGGCATTTTCTATATGTTCTGCGTGTGCACTGCACATTTCCCCTTTTGTACAACTTGAATCTCTCTAGTTTTGAAATATGTATCATTCAGCTTTTTAAAAAGCAGTGGGGTGGGGAAACAAAGAATAGTTTGTTTATTCCCTTCCCTTCACTGCAACAGATGGATAACATTGTAGCACAAGTCTGCTCCTGTCTGTTACCTGCAGAATGGATCTTGTGCTTCAGTGTTCATTGGGGCGGGGGGGGGGACTTGCAAGATTGTATAGCAAAGTGTTGATCCAAAATACCCTCTCCCATCACATAACAATGCGAGAAACTAAATAAATGCCAGTCCTGCTATTCTTTAAGGGTGCCCCAAACTTGTTATCAAGGTAACTTCCCCATTCTGATGAGTGGTTCTGTTGCTAGTAAAGTAGCTTTGGATATGGTTTTTGCCTCCTGATATGATACACAGAATCTTCCTATCCTGAAATCTGTCATGAAAATGTTCCACTCCTTTAATTTTTTTGAACTCATATTGTATAGACAGACACAGAATACTTCTCTATTCTCTTTATATCAAAATACTGTAGAACAAACATGACTCACGTGCATTACGAAATGCAGCTCATTTTTATTCATCTTGTTTTTAAGCTTTTGAAAAAGAAAGATTTCTAGAAGAAAACTGTGGCATCTTGTTAATTATTATCATCAGCTATCTCTAATTCTTGCTCGTACGTACCTACCTATATACAATGGGCAAAGGTCTCTCACCATTCTTCTTCTTGGGGAATTGCAAGGTTCCATTCTGGCATCAAATTCCTCAGTTGCCTTGGTAATGCCATTGGCTAATTTATTTTAGCAAAAGCTAGATCCTGATTATTCTCCAATTCTGTCTACGTGATCTTCTCAATTTTATAATAAAAACAAGTATATTCATTATATATTGATCTTTTGCACAAGGTGGTGTGCAGGCTTCTCTCCAGTTTATGCTGACAACAGTCCTGTTGGATTGGATTGAAAAAGAGTGATTAGCAGATTACTGAATTAATTTCTTGGAATAGTGGGGATTTGAACCTGTGTCTCCTCGGTTCTAACTGAACACTCTAATTTACAAGGTCAAAAAGTTCAAGGAGTTGAAAAACATAAAAGAAGAACATAACAATAATGGCCCAAATCATCTTGCCTAGTTGTGCTGGTGACTTGACTTTTTGAGGTGTCAAATGCCATGACTTTTTGAGGTGAATTGCCTAAAGTTGCATTATCTGGCACATCTTGAATTGTGTGAAGCAAGATGCAACTGATAATGTCTCCAGTGATTTCTTAATTAGAGGCAATTTCTCTCCAAAAAGTATGACATTCGGATAATTACACAATAGGAATTACAGCCAACATATGTAAATATGTACATAAAACAGACATGAGTAAGTTCAACTGAAGCGAATAGGAAAGCTTAGCTGCTCACTACTACTAACCTAAGGTTCATTGCCCTCAATGGAAATAGCTGAAATGTTTTGGCTGAAATCCTGTTGCTTAATGCAGTAATTCACTCTAACTGTGCAGTAGTTCACTCTAACTGTGACTTCAGCAAACTACAACTAAAGTTGGCTCATTTGAATTGATGGGACTTTTGGAGGAGCTGACTCACCAAATTTCAACTGATACAGTTGAATCAGTTCACTCTAGTGACCTATTCTAAAACACAGGATTTCAGGGATACATTACCATATACTGTAAATGCATTAGAACTCTGGGTAGAGTGGGCAGCATATAAATTAAATACATAAATAAAATAAATAAATTAGTCTTTTAGTGAGTCAAAACAAGCTGGCTTGTGGACCTCATATTTGCTTCCTTGTGTTTATGAAAGTGTGCTTTAAATTGTGATAATAAAACATAGTAAGGGCAAGAGTAATGCAGAACTTGATTTTGTTAAGGTAGGATGGGGAGACTCCTGGAACACCTCTGGCAGCATTGTCATGGCCTGCTGACTGGGAGATTATTGGAGCGGTAGTCCAAAGCCACCTATGCTTCTAAGTTCAAGAGAGATCCATAACTGTGATGGTGACGGTGGAAGCCATCTTGGGACTTCTGTGTATATGGAGCAGAACATACGTGGTTCCTGATGCCCCTTCTCAATATACGGCTGTGAAGTACATTGATATGAATACAAGTACATAGCCACAGTAGGATAAGAGGATATAGTCAATTAGGACCAAATGACATTACAGATAGTCAATTGTTAGATGCTGGGAATTTGTTAGTGTTGTGGAGATGCAATTCAGGTAGACCCACATGACTAAGCTATTAGCCTGTGTTTTCTTTCAAAGATCAGTCACAAAAGAAAGAAAACTAATTGGCAGACTATGAAAGGCATGCCTAGCTTTTGATGTTTGTGATGTTCTCGGTACTTAAGAAATCCCTTCTTCTAATCATGGGCTATCTGTTGTGCATTATCTGGACCTTAATTTTAATTTCAGACTTACTGTCACTTTACTTTGCTGTCCCATGTCTCTCTCTCTCTCTCTCCATGTTCCTCCTTTGAATGTAGGCTATCGACATAAGCAGCCCATGATCTGAGCTCCCCTCATTTGAGGGTGAAGTATTTCTCCCTGACCCATGAATTATCACAGTTTTTGGGCCTTATTTATTGCCCCTCCCTTCTGGCAAGTTTTGTACTTTACTGACATATTATTACTTTATTCACATATTTATTGGACTTGTGCTTGCAATAGCATATTGCTTTGACTCTCAGGATAGTTTTGCGGAGTCAGGGAAAAGCAGAGAGGCTTTATTTTCTTCTTCCAGCAGTCATTCCCACCATGCTTTGCCCTTTGAGTAAAACCTTCACTATTTATTGCGGCTTCTTCCTCTTCTCTTTGCAACAGCTTTGCAGTTTCCTTCTGAGCATATTTTCCAAGTGTTCATGTTTCCTGCTGCGCAAACTGCCTTCTAATATTATCACTTCTACTTTTCAGTCCTCTATCCTTGTTCATCTTTGATCAAGCCTCCTCTTCTCCCTGATCTAATAGAACCTTTTAGGAAAGTCATTCCAACAAGAAACACAAAACAAAACAAAACAAGAACAACAAAAAAGGGTGGGAGAGACTTGTGGTACCTTAAAAACTAACTGCTATAATTTAATGTAAGTCAGTCTCACTGAAATTGACAAGTCTTCTGTCTTAACACAGGAAGGGGCAGGCAATTGGCTTGCAGTAAAAGGTGTTGCTGGCACTTCAAGAAGCAATCTTCCCTCATCCTACTTTTAGTAAGCTATTGCAATGAAATTAATGTTAAATCGCAGCAACAGGCTCTGTCCGGAAAGATATTCTCCAGGGACAGCATCTACCTGGGAAAGAGTTCATATGAGCAAAAGACAAGACTCCTTGTATTGCAACAGTTTGAAAATATATGTAATCATCTCTCGTCTCTCCCCCCCCCTTTCGTTCTTCATCTTCTTCTCCCATCCATCACCTATTGAACAAGCAGCAGCCAAGAAACAACGGTTCTTTCGGAGGACCCATTTGCTCAGCATCCGAATGTTGATCTAAAAGAAAATAGAAATTATTAATGCATATATTCCCCCCCCCGCACCCTCCAACAAGGGCTTTTCTCTGAAATTACCTCCCGAGCCCACACAGATAGGAACACAAACTCGCTCGATTCCTTCCTTCCTCCTCCTCCTCCTCAATATCATATGCATCATCACCATTGCATGGTAATTCCCTCCTCGTTACGTTTCTCCAGGGAAGAGCTTTAAATTCAGGATCGGGGGGGGGAAGCTGGGGGATAAGTAGGCACCTCGCTCTGCCAAATGCATCCAAGCAGGTGCTGCACCTACCGCTGCTGCCTCTGGACCGCGCTGGCTCCGGAGCTGGCACACACGCACACGCGCTCTCGCCTCCTCCGAGATGAGGGAGGGGAAGGGAGGGGAAGGGGACGGGGACCGCACGGCTTGGCCCTCTCCTCTCGGTGACTCCCCGGCAGCCAGAGGAACAGGGGCTTTCTCGCGGCGCCTCTCGCTCCCTTCCGAGTCCCCGCTGGCAACGCACCCCTGGAGCAGAGGGGGCCGCTTGCCGTTCAGATATTTTCGGCTCTAATCCTCGTCATTTCCGCCCGTGAGAG